TACAATATTCATTATCAGAGGCGAAGCGTCTATATAATCAAATAATCACTGCTTCCCTTCCTAATTTTGAAACATTGTCACAGTCAAATTCACCCATAAACATAAACTTCATAAATTAAATGTAAAAAGACGTTCATAATCAACAATGAACAGTATGCTTAGCATTCTAAACGGTTTCATTGCCACTGCAATAGCCTGTTCACCCCTCTTGAGCCACTCCATAAGCAGTCACAAGCTTTGATTAAGTAAGCTTAAAGTGAGACTGGAGAGTCTACCAAAGGAGTTGAAGGGAACATGTGTATAGCAGTCATTGCCACATATACCCTGTTCACCCCTTTCAGGCCACATTTATAATCAGTCTCAAGCACTGGTCAGGTAAGCTAACTATTACACTGGTCGAGTCTACCTCACAGATGTGAGGGGAACTAACTCCTAATAATCTCTCACTGCTGTGACTGCTTGTATTTTTTTCCTCGACTTTTTACTGCCCTATAATCAGATCGTGACCTCGATTATGACACAAGCTCGTGGCCACGAAAGGCTAAACAAAAAAACAGCCAAATGAGAATTTTTTAAAATGATAATTGTCATGTTCTACCAAAGAGTTAGACTCCCTCGTAGATCTATAACATATAGATTTAGTACTGACATCTCTGCTTCTTTGCTTTGTGTTTGTGTATTCACATCTAAAGTTAAATTTAATTTTAATTGGAATTGATATTTAATAAGATACTTTCACGATTATTTTGGCGGTTGAACATACAATAATGAATTCCGGATTGGTTTTCATTCACAACTCTGAGTCGCCGCCTCGAGAAAGGTTCTTGTGTGATATCCCCAGGCCATATCTGGTCCCGTTTTACTTTGATTACCCTGTCAAACAAGTCAGCCTTCGCCCCTGTTCATTATGATTATGATTTATAAGTTGTACACTGAGACAAAACCGTTCTAAATGAGAAAGGTGCACCACTATGAAAGTGGAACGAACTCAGTTGCCTGAAAAGGGTAGTTTGAGCATGTGTGGCCTAAATAAGCTAAACCCCCCTCCCTTGCCTTACTTAGGCCATATGTGGCCTAAATAAGCACTCCCTTAAGTAAAGCCGAATAAACATGTATCGACATTCAAAAAGCACCTTCCCGGTATGAAGGCGTTCAAATAGACAAGTAGGATTCACTGCTGTTTTGTCGCGACAGAGCCCCATTCCTTCATCTTTGTTTATCGCACCGGCTCGTAACTTCATATCATCTCCCGTCAAACCGTCACATTGCGGAACTTCGTAGGTGGACAAACGAACACGGCGGGTACAGCGATGAAGTCACTCCACTGGACAAATCCATCGACTGCCCTGAGACTACTAACAGCGAATATATTACATATATCATCCCTTGATTGCCAAATTGGCCTTTTGTGTGTTGCTTGCAAAATCAGTAATGAGACTGTCTTGAGTCTTGAGCAGTACAGACACATGAAATATTTTATCAGCTCAATACATGTATGTACTTATCATTCAGTCTTTTTCTACTATCATCAGAACATTTATTGTCAGCATGGCACTAATCTTTTTTGTTTATTGAATTTTTAGCCACCTATAGTTCCTGTTTGGTGACTATTCATCGCTTTCTCCCCACTAATAACGTACCTGGCCCATATGAGTTTAGCCGGCGAAAAGAGGAATCGTCTAGTGAAGATATATAAGGAGAATTATAACGAGGAGCGAAGGCTCTCGGCTGTCAGAGTCTGGGCCTAAAACAATGGGCCTACCCCCTCCCTTCCGCCTCCTTATCCACCGTCACCCTAGCTAGACCCAGGGCTAGACACCAAGTTCCATAATTAGCATTTGACACACTTCCCCACTTTGTTACAACAGTGTTCTGTAAACTGAGAAGTGAGATGAAGAACGTTTGATTACATAAGGATGGAAAACTGTTGTGTGCTAACTTTGTCCAGCTTTGTATATTGTAGACTTAATCTGCATGGGACGGCGTAATTGGTACAGTATCAATTGACTTTTTGCTATCACGGCGTAATTGGTACAGTATCAATTGACTTTTTGCTATCATACAGTGTGTTCTTATATTACATATACAGGTCGAGTGCTGGTCGATATTGTGTGTGTGTGTGTGTGTGTGTGTGTGTGTGTGTGTGTGTGTGTGTGTGTGTGTGTGTGTGTACAAACTTAGTAGAAAGTAAAAGTCTTTTGTTAAAGTACCGGAGGCCATGACCAGCAGTTCATTGTGCTTCTCACTTTCAGTTTGTTTTCTAGCATAGTCTCTAGTAGTACTAGTAGTGTTTCTTTTCCTATGCCCTTCAAGTCAGTTTCTATTAACTCAGTAACTCCTATCATACATTAATCATAATATTGTTCCTTGACACTACCATATTTCAGCTCTTTCACATTATATTAAAATGTTTACAGTGGTGTGTTTGTGAGTGGGGGAGGGGTGGGGATGGCGAAAGTAGGGGCCCGGTATAAAATGAGGAGAGAGAGAGAGAGAGAGAGAGAGAGAGAGAGAGAGAGAGAGAGAGAGAGAGAGAGAGAGAGAGAGAGAGAGAGAGAGAGAGAGAGAGAGAGAGAGAGAGAGAGAGAGAGAGAGAGAATGTGTTTGTGTGTGTGCGCGGGATTCTGTCCGTGCGCGTGTGAGTCTGTCTTTATATGAGCAGGGCTGTGTGTGTGTGCGTGGTTGTGTCTCTGTGTCTTGTGAAGGGGGGGGGGGGGGGGGGGGAGGAGGAAGAAAGAGTCTATGTGAATGATGGCCGGTCAGTTCTATAAACCACGAGCCACCACTGGCCAAATATAATATTAAAACAAGGTCTTCGCTGGAGCTGTAACTGTCATTTCTGTGTTAAAAGCGCCCTAAAACATCCACTATGCCTTGCCAAAGTCCACGCGCTTTAACCCAAGACGGAATAAGACCGTCTTATTCCATCTTGGCTTTAGCTAAACATATAGATCTAGATCTAATAATAGAATATTAAACATTGGCTATCTGACCTATAAATTGCTCTTTGGGATAACCCAAGCGATGACGACACTCGTAACGAGTTGGCGGTACATTAATATTAATAAGACGGCACATCTCACATGTGCACTAGAGACGGGCGGGAAGCGCTTTTTCCTTCCCGAGCGAGAAGACCGAGTAGCTGACCTATTTCTCGCCGAGACCGGTCCCGGGAACGAGAAATACTTCCCGTGTCGTGTCTCGAGTCTCGAGTAATGCTTCTCGTCTTCTCACCTTTCGAGCCTCTCGTTCAACGAGAAGGCCGGCCGTGGCCGAGATTTCTCTTCTCGCCCCACAGAACGAGCAACCCGTTTAGCGGGAAGGCCGGTCGTTGCGGGGATCTAAACTTAGAAACTAGGCTTGCCCTGGTGCGCAGGCGCAGGCGGTGAAGGAAGGTAGGGAGACGACCTAGGCCTAGGCCCTGATCAACTCCCCACTCGCCTCGTCTCGCTACCCTCTCCCCTCCCTTTAAGTTTCACACACAGGACGTCACGGTGATGGGTGGCACTGTCTGCGTTGTCAGTCCTCGCCTCTCACTCTCGTTACTGTTACTCGTTATGTCAAGCCAACGAGCAGTATCACGTCTCGGTACCCAGCAATAGTTTAGTGCTCAGGAAGCGACTGGAAGGGCGTTACTCGCGAGACACGGGCCTCGGCTCGTCTCGTGCTCGCCTCTAATGTGCACCCACGAATCATAGCCCACGGCCCACAGCAGGAAGTCTAAAAATAAACGTGATAGCCTGTACCCTATTCAATGCCAAAATTATGTGATCCCCGGAGCAATCCAGCGTATTGCTCAAGTAAACTGTAATTGGTTCATTGTCTTGCCACTATTTTAAGCGACTCTGTGGCCGTGAACCTGAGGAGGGTGAACGTGACATACTTAAGTCACCGCCCTATGAGTTGTGCCTTTGAATGGTTTTGTAGTGGAGTGTTGAACGTTATTATTTGAGTGTTCAGTTCCGATGCAGGATGAACGAAATTGATGTTTAACTAACAGATTTAGTTCTAGAAATCAAAGCGACAAGTAAAAAGAATGAAAATAAAAGCACTAAGTCCTCCCTCACCAACCCAAAGATCCTAAAATTATACACCATCCCATTTACTATGCCCTTGACTATCTTCAGCCCAAGAGCTTAATTGTGCACGCCCACTGTTTAGCCCCACGAGCCGCCCGTGGCCTTCATAAAATCATATGCAGATGTCTGCAAGATGAACAAGGCTTAGAAGATCAACTTTTAGTTTTTAAAACGAAAAACCCCCCACGGTAAAATATAGCAGCCAATACAAAATAAACAATTTAAGGTTTGTCCCAAGGTGGGGAGAATTGCGAGATAGAGAAAAAGGATATTATACATAGAGTGAAAATGAAATGCACAAGGAGACCGCTACAGAGTGCAGAACCTTGGTCATTTCTTGCACTCTCTACAATTGTCGCTTTCTGACTTTTGTGCCACAAGATAGACCATAATTACGGACGAAAAATGCACACTGACATCACAAACTCCTTTGTCTGTTGTGGGTGTCTGTTAATTGGGAAGTTACAGTTGCTTTTTCTGCAGTGTTACATTGTAGATATTTTCTCCTACATTGATGTGACGGTTTTCTATGTATACTTTAGTTACAGAGATGGGCTATGCCATAGTCATGCAACACAAAAAATGTAACTCAAACAGTTTCAGAATAGCTCTAGCGACTACCGACGGATATCTTAACAGGGGGTCATTTTACGTTTTTTACACCGACAGTCTTCTTAATCATACGTGTATAATATCCTTGATTGCCTATTATTTTGACTTCCGGTTTACAGCATTAAGCTGAATCTAAACCAAATAAAGACAAAGGAATAGGGGGTGCTGCATATAGTCTGCAGTAGTAAAATTCGTGTTTTTCTCCTATTTAGACGTAATGTTGCAGCTTATCATATGTACACATTTTGCTGCAAAGTTTATAGTGTGCAGTCTAGGAATACAACTCTATGGCATTATTCAATAAAATGACTTCCGCCTAAGACCGGAGCCGGAAGTTGTTTCCTCAGTTTCTTCCTTTCTTTTGCCTTTTTCCCTCGTGCGTGCAGGTGAATAAGACGCTGGCTCACCGCTGTTCAAAGGATCAACTGTTTTTCCATTGATTAAGTCGGCCAGAACACGTATTAACATGGTGAGAACTATAGTATATTATAATTGTTTTAGGCTAAAAATGAGAACGTTGTCAACATTTCAATTGAATAGCTGAAAAGGGAAAGAATTGAGATGACTTGTCCGAACTGAGACTGAGACTGAGACACATTTTCTAGATTTTGACAGGCAGGATCGGATGACCATGCCACATGCCACATGTCATGGATTATAATTGTTGATGAAGTTACTGACGTACAATTGTTAAAGCAAGCTGATCTTCTAGGTTTATTTTACTCATGTACCCATCTCATCATGTCTCATGTGCAGGCTGATTTGTTGATAATTTGCGAATGGTGGGGGGGGGGTTGTTGTTTGGCCACCTCGTGCAGGCGAGTCTTTTGGCTATTCTCACCCGGTGCGCGCTCACCGTTATAGCCTAGATCTAGATCTAGGCCAACAAATTTTGCGTTCACCCTAAACCACAGAATTCTACACTGTGATAAAAGAAAAATTGTAGAATTCTGTGCTGTGAACAAACGTTCCATTACAACTGTAGCCTACTAAAAGTAAAAGCATACAATTTTGTCTGTGGGCAGTGGAGAGAGAGAGAGAACAAAACAAAATGGCGACCCGCGTAGTTCGGCTCGATTCGAAAAGTTAAATAGCCGTAGCATCTTTGTAGACAACCAAATTAATTTACTTTTGTGTTTTAACATAATTTTTAAGGAAAATGATTCTCACAACCGAACAAAGAATAACATACACATATGTATGAACACACTCCCAACTCTTTCATTCACTCATGCCGAAAAAAAAGAATTCGATGTCTGCTCCTCTCACCTCGCTCTTTCTCTCTCTCAAACTGTCTATCGGTGTGGATGATCAAATTGATAAAAGCCAAGAAAAAATTACGTTATAGCACAAAAGTAAGCTAATTTGATCGTCCTCAAAGATGCTATGGCCATTTCACTGTTCGAATCGAGCCGAACTACGCGGGTCGCCATTTTGTTTTGCCCGGAAGTTCTCGCAAGATCTACTCCTCCCCTCTCTCTCTCTCTCTCTGTCTCTTTCTGAATACTGTCTATCGGTGTGGACGATCAAATTGACCAAAACAAAGTTAAAAAATGATGTTAAAACACAAAAGTATATTTATTTGGTTGTCTACAAAGATGCTACAGCTATTTAACTTTTCGAACCGAACTACGCGGGTCGCCATTTTGTTTTGACCGGAAGTTCTCGCGCTACTCCTCTCTCTGTCTCTTTCTCTCTCTCTCTCTCTCTCTCCACTGCCCACATACAAAATTGTACGCTTTTAGTAGGCTACAGTTGTAATGGAACGTTTGTTCACGGCACAGAATTCTACAATTTTTCTGTTAACACAGTGTAGAATTCTGTGGTTTAGTTAGGGTGAACGCAAAATTTGTTGGCCTAGATCTAGGCTATAACGGTGAACGCGCACCGGGTGAGAATAGCCAAAAGACTAGCCTGCACTATTCTCATCCCGGGTGAGAATAGAGGTGGCCAATTTTTAAACTTTGTTTTGGTCAATTTGATCGTCCACACTGATAGACAGTATTCAGAAAGCGACAGAGAGAGAAGAGGGGAGGAGTAGATCTTGCGAGAACTTCCGGCGGGTGAGAATAGCCACTTTCTTGTTGTTTACTAATCTAGATTCTACATGATGGATTTTAGTGGTTTTTTTCTTAGGAAGTGACTATTTCTCTAAACGGCTCTCGGTCTCATGATTTTTTGCCTATTTATTGCGAGAGTTCGGCGCCAACTTTCATTCTGCCTCAGGTCTGGGAAGGAACACCGCATGGCAAGCCCGCCTACTAGATCTACATAGCACTTCCCCCTGCTCTCTCTCTCACACACACACACACTACCGGGTCTGGGCGCTGAAACTTTTCGAAATCACAAAAAGTTCCCCTACCGGGTCTATACTTCAGCATGACTTAGTTCCCGGTTACCTGGTCTGTATACACTTCGTTTTACTTACGGAGGGTCTACGTACACGGTAACCGGGCACGTAGCCTCATGGTCTACGTACACGGTAACCGGCAACCGGGTGTGAAGTCTCAATGTCACATACCATACACGGTAACGGGCAACCGGGCGCCTCTCATTATCTAAGACCTAAAAACACGGTAACCGGGTATTTAGTTTCGTGGGGGGGAGGGAGCTAGGTGCACGGTAACTGCTTTGCTCCCTTCATGACGTTGACATTAATTAATTTTTCCCTTTACACCGTGTAGTCTCAATGTTGCATACACGGTAACCGTGCGCGTGGCGTAGCCTCAATATCTACGTACACGGTAATCAGCAACCGGGCATGTAGTCTCAATGTCACATACACATGTACACGGTAACCGTGCGCGTAGCCTCAATATCTACGTACACGGTAATCGGCAACCGGGCGTGTAGTCTCAATGTCACGTACACGGTAACTGGGCGCGTAGCCTTAATATCTACGAACACGGTAACCGGGTATTTTGTTTCCTGGGGTGGCGCTTGAGCTAGGTGCACGGTGACTGCTTCAAGACCATGACCCTTTTCCTTTTTTTTTCTTCTTTTTCACTCCGCTTTTTGGGGTTGTGAGTGGGTGGAATGTGATCCCAATCTACCCCCTGTCAGTGTCATCTTTCCTAAGGGAGAGCAAAATGCAGTGACACTGAAAACCTACGAATCTGGAACAGAAAGCTGAAATATAGATGTTTACAAAACATGTAATAATATCACGAGAGGGAGAGAACGAGACTCAGAAAACAGAGAGAGGGAGAGGAAGAGAGAGAGAGAATAAAAAAGTATGCACTTGATGAGGTCATGCCTCTCTTAAAACAAAGGACAATGAAACAAACGTACTATCACCCATCCAATGAAACGCGGACCTTTTAGTTTAAAAAACACGGTTTACTAGGTTTGAGCCATGACGGATCCCAATTCTGTATAGGGCTTGCACCAATGCATGCTTTTCCGTAGCAGGAAGCTCTAGCGTAATAATCAAAATTCTAAATACTAAAATTTGCTTCCATTCCAAGTTGTTTTTGTCATCCGGTGTTGCCTTCAACCCCACCCCTCCCCCTGACTGTACCTTTTTAAAAAAATTGATAATCCCCCCCATTCCGGAGCCCTATACTTCGCACAGCGCACACTTTGAATGAACTTTGGTGACCCCAACGATCACTGGTACTCACAATGTGATGCGAAGGTACAGGCTCACTGACCAGTCACGATGTCGAGCCCGACAAGACGCCTGTATAGCTTTCTTTTTTTCCGCAAGTGAAAGCAAAGGACAGTGATTTATTTTCATGGCGACACAGCGTTTGCATGCACAACCTGTATGTTACAAATGTTGTGTTAATCCGACTGCTACCGGCAAATTTGTGGGTGGTAACGAAAGCGAAAGTAGATCGAGCTTCGGTACCACGCATTCACTTACGCTTGCCGCCAAAGCGCCCTGTTCATACATAAAACTATCTTTTGTTTTCTTAAGAGTTAGCACTTACAACACAATAAGTTCAAATAAAAGTGCCGAAGATTAGAGGTGTTAGTGTTACAAGAGAGTAACAAACACAAGAAAGAAAAAAGATTTTTTGAATAGGAGAGAAGGAGCAGAGCACCCACCAACCACCCACTAATACTATCTTTACAGTCACACACAAAAATACATAAACACAGAGAGAGGAGAGGGAGATGATACTGAAAATCTGCGAATCTTGTACAAAAAGTTAAAATATAGAGATCTAATTTACTGTCACCAATCCAATGAAACGCGAACACTTCGGCCGTTTTCACACATGGCCTGCATCAACGCACACTTTACTTAGCAGAGAGCTGTAGTAGTAATCAAAATTCTAAACATTAAACATAATATTTGCTTCCAGTTTCAGTTTTTTTTACCTCTGGTGTTGCGTTCAGCCTCCCCCTATCCCCGAGTGCGTCTTTAAAAAAATCAATAGTCTCCCCCATTCGTGAGTCCTGTAGGCCTACTTCGAAGCACTCAGAATGCGCGCAGGTTCATTGACCGGTCACAATGGCGAGCCCGACAAGACGCTTGTATAAGTATTAACTTTCTTTTCTTTATGTTGCTCCCATAAGTGACGACACAGCGACAAATATTGATTTATTTTCATGGCGACACCACGTTTGTAATGCCGAACCTGCATGTTATAATAATTCAGTGCTTCCACTCTTCCGTATTTTTACGGAAATCCGTACTTTCTGCCAGTTCCGTACTTGTCCCTCCATCATTATCTACTCCCTCCGTAAAAAAAACTGTGACAGTGCAGGACTGCCAAAATTCCGTACTCGTCTTCGTATCGTCTTGTATAAGGTACGGATATTTACGGTAATTCTCTCGGCAACAAGTTAACGTTATAGAAACCTGCCAAATTGCGCATTTCCTGCATTCTGACATTATACCGCTATGTCCCAGTCCCATGCATTCATTGCGTGTTGGTCGGCAGTACATTTTTTACATGCAGATGGATCAAAATCTGGCGAACCTTTTGTGCCAACTTCCTCCTTTCTGTCATTCACTCATTCCTTCTGCGCGTTGATGAAGACTGATTTTGATCTTAGACAGAAAATTACTGTCGGAAAGAAACTTTTCGCAAATTTTATCTAGATCTAGAGAAATTATCAATGCGAAAATTCTATGGCACGTGAACGCAATATAAGGGCCGCAATGAAAGAAATATATGCTGATACGGTCGTGCCCACTACGGATGGGATCGGCCGATTGCGCTGATCGTCCGACTCGGTCGTACAACAGTGTTTTATTTGAAACTGAAAACAAACACGTTTGTTTTTGAGGCGATCGAGTCGGGCGATCGGCCGATCCCGTCCATATTGAGCACCACGTATAAAATCAAGAATAATTAGAAGTGGTGTTCCGAGGTTGTGACAGGCGACTTTCAGACATGAACATTTAGAAAAAATGTGGGTATACGCTGCGCAACCATATTTTGAAGATACATCTATTCATTATTCCCAGGTTTGCCTGCTGTCAATGGTGAGACTACAAATTAATTGAATTATAGTAGCAATGAAAGGGAACCTGCTTTTAAACATTTCCAGCATTGGAAAGATATGCTGGCGATGAAGTCAAACAAGACAAAATGTTGGTGAAAAAATAAATATTATGGGCTGTAGGCAATATCTGCAAACAGGCTCCCAAATGCCATTTTCTACCCTCTAAAAGCACTAAATTTCTATTTCGCCCCCTGAAACCCCACCAGCGGGACGCTGTCCCTGGGCCCTGCTGGCGGCTGCAGAGGCCCCCAGACCCCCTGCAGAATTTTCCTTACTTTTCAGCTTCAGCTGGTAGAGGCACTGATGAACCGATTCTTAAAATTCAAGAGGCATATTTCTTAGGATTGAAAATTCTTTATGTACCAAATAAAAAAGGGCTAAAGTGAAAAATTAAATTTTCATTGGCATTGCTAAGTTTAGCCCTCAAATCAATGCATCTCTGGGTGGGTGCATTAAAGTAAAAATTTACCCTAGAGTTTTTGCTCTAGGGGTGACTGAATGCAAAATGGGTTACTGCCATGGTCGAGCAGTCTTGTTTTCTCTCAGTACCCTTTGAAGGCATTTTCAAATGTAGTAGGCTATAGTCCGGGAACGTTGCCCCAGCCACAATTTAAGTATCTGAATATTGAGACATATAAAATATAATTAAAATCTCTAGCTCAGGAAATTGAATTCAATGCACAAAATGCTTCTTCTCAGTCCTTGCAGAATGGCAAAATGAAAGATGTCTAAATCTTGCAAATAACTTAAAAAAATCTCGAGTGTGGAAACCGTTCATAGAAATAGTCACCTCTTTTTTTGTTATCACAATCAGATGACGCGGTGGGCATCCCCCCTGCTAGGTCAAACAAGATGGCTGTTACTATAAATATCTGCCAATGGCGTTTAGTTGTCGTTCTTTAGCTCTCCGCTTATTGTAGCCATACTTCCAATTTAATTGTTTATTTTTACTTTCAGTCGTTCAAGGATACCAGCTTCAACAAGGAAGGGTCTATGAAGGCTGCCGCTGATGAGGCTCCAATCCACAGAATTCGCATCACACTGACAAGCAGGGTGGTCAAAAGTCTGGAAAAGGGTGAGATTTATAATTTGGTATTTTGTCCCCCCAAAAAAGCATTCTTTGTCTTGTGAGATTTACACTGTAGTTTAATCCTGTCAGTACGTTGTTTTACTATCATATCCATGCAACATGGGGAACTCTGTGCCACCACTTTTGAAAAAGGAAATTTCCTCGTTTATCCGATCCATGCGCTTTGAGCAGTCTGTCAAAATTATTTTTTGAGAAATACTGAAAGTTTCAAGGAGATCTTCGTACTAGAAGAATTCTAAAATGTGAAGAATACAGCCCCGGGGATACAAAATTACCCCAGGGCGTACAGATACGATTAATTATCTCACTGACTACGGTTCCTGTACCCCCGAAGGAATGGACTTAACGGTTTTGTTCTATAAATTGTTCTCTCGTCACATCATGTACCGGTACTGAAACAGACTCCAGTGCTTGTTTTAGTTTTGCCACTTCTATCGTTCCGTATTTAGTTTGGTGGAAGTTGTGTGTGTTTTTTAGCTGTTGAAAGTAAAAAACCGTCACCCCCACTAAAGCTTAAAGCTGGCCGAAGTTCGCTATGTTTTGTTGGTAGATTTGATTGCCCCGTTAAATAGACCTGCATGTTTGCCGACAATCGTCTGAAATCCGACAATCGCAACCCAACCCGCGAGCCAGCCGATGCTATCGCTAGGCCTACCTGTACACTGTATAAGTCAATGTGCGAAGTGTGAGGCCTGGCCAACTGCCAGCGCCCCCTTTTTCTCCCGTCGGCTTTGTCGGCACTTTCGT